GCTACGTCTGGACCAATAATAATAAGAACCTAATTCAGTACTTAAGAGATATATATGAAGAAGTTACACTGATTAAGTTTCCTTATTACAAAAATCTGAACATGTGAATGACCGAAAAATATGAAGTAGTATTAATTGAATTATCTAGAAATGTCATCTGCTAAAGTATTAGAAGCTTTCTTTTTTCTTAACAACACTCTTCAGCTAGTCAGCTGATTTGTTTAACACAAATTTTCTAAACTTATGCCAAACAACGCGTAAAGTCGAAACATTAAAGACAAATTGTAGTAAAAATGCATTTATTCCTAACGTTATCACAAGGAAAATACTGCAACTTAGTAGGTAAATTATTATTGCTTGGAAATGTGTTAATTAACAGCCGCAAGCAATCTTCACCCGTCGAACTCAAAACCAGTCATCAAAATCTCGCCAAAAAAAATCGACACGAGAGATATTGCTCGGCTACGGTGAAACCTCAAGAAGACGGAGTCAAGACCCTCGGCTCGAACTCGTTCAGTACCCGTGGATGCCAGCTACTGTGCATTTTAGCTTTAGAGGGAGACGGCAGATATGCGAGCCAGACGAGCTTAGCGCGGACAAGAAAGAGACAGATAGAGATGCGCGCGCGCAACGCAGCCGCCAAACATTGGTAGTAAAATCCCGCGCGAGTCACCGTGTACGAGGCCGATCGAATCGGGCCGCTAGTTCGTTCAGTTACGTTTCCGACACACGAGCAGCTGGTGCGCTGTGCTGCGGGCCCCCAGTTGCCACTCGTTTTACTTGAACCGATTCATTATTATTGTATGACATATCCCTTGTAATACAATGACGTTGAACTATTGTGGCAAAGTATTTTTAGACAAATAAGTGAGGCTGTGATTAGTGTTGTGTACAAAAGAACGAGCGACTTGCGACAGTTAAATATTTGATACCGGAGTTGCTGGAGAAGTAACAGTTAGGTTTAAAAGGTAAGTGAGTTGTGTCACAAAAGCTTACTGGATTGAATTGAGTCGAGCTTAACTCATATCGACGACGCGAGGAATGTTGTTTGACAGCATACATGTGCGGGAACAAAAGCCTCGTGCATAGTCATCACATTTCTTTTTTATTCCTATCGCTGTCTTGCGATGTAGGAATGGTGGATAAGTAATGAACGAATGATTACTGGATCCATATGAACCTAATGATGTTATGAATTATAAACGCATCGAAGTGTTAGTGTCGTTTCTCATGGTCACAGGTAGCGGCTGTGCGCCCGTTTACCTGAGCGACGAGTAAGGGAGAAAGGGACGCCGTTCTATTTACCGGGAACTCCATTTCAATAGAATGGACAAAGCGAGTTCAGCTAAAGGGATGAACATATTTACACACATTGTTTGAATGAATATTACCACGTTTTAATTCATAAAACTTAGAATTCGTGGTATTTTTAGAAGATACAGATCGTGTTATTTAATTGCGGAGATTCTTAATAAGAATAGCACAACACATGTAGCTAACACGCGAAATTCACGGTCCATGAAACTTCATTGAAGATGTGCCGACCAAGGACACGGTGAATAAAGAAATAAAAACAATCAAACCTCTGCCCGCTTAATTTTAACAACCCGGACATGTTCGCGCACAAAACAAAATAACAATTACATTGTGAGTGACTGTAGAAAATAATTTCCTACCGTACAAACGACAGCGTACTAATAATAACTTCCATAGGTGGACTGTATTACTCTAGTTAAATTAGACGTCATAATTACTGGTTATTACGAACATTAAATAATTGCCACTAGTAATTTCCGCAGTAATGACATTAATGTAATCATAGTGTTGCCGTTATCTAAGGTGATCGTTTTAAAAGGTCAGAATATCAAGTACTTTAAATACGATTTCATAACAGTTATCGTATAGCACATTTAAATTTTAAATAACGCATGAAAGAGTAGGACATTATCGGTTCTCATTAGGTACCGTGTGAGAGTTTCTTTGGTATGGTGCCACAAAAGGGGGCATCTTTAACCGGTCTCACATATTATTCTTGTCACGGCGCGCGGGCACGGCACCTGCATCCATGATGACGCCGAAGCGCCTGGCGATAACCTCTAAAACATGCCTTGAACTTGCAAACTTGTTTAGTATTCATGTTTCTCATATAAAAATAATAGTAACACTAATTGGCAGCACAGTCACGCCTATTCTTGTACTTGTAAAGCTCTCAGGTTCGTTTTAAATATTTAAATGATACTGGGAACATGAGGATTGATATTTCAGAAAATTATTCTTGGATTTCTTTGCTTGGCATTAGAAGAATGGCTTATTGCGTACGCTGCACACTCGATATCAATTAGCTCGCATAAGTCTTATAAAACATGACTTTGTTTACAAACCATAAAGAATAACGTGCATCTTTGACCTCAAGAAGTTAAAATAATATTCATCATTATCTATTGTGAATTGTAATATATTAATCCTTTGCAATTGCAATAGCGCCAATAAGTGAAGCATTCGAGAATTTTATCAGAGCGTGTAGTTAAAAAGGTCTGTGAAATATAATCTGGACCGCATTAACGCAACCGCAGGTCCACATTAGAAGCGCATTTCCGTGCGAGTGGACACAAAACATGACGAAAGGCGGGCGTAGTCACCGCGGATGTTATGACCAACACAACTTATCTGACCACCGCTATAATTTCAACTCGAACGAATGTTAATAAGGAGTACCACGTGGTTCCGTATTATTTTTCTACAATGTAAACAATTCGGGAAGGAATGTTAGTAACAATCAACGCAGTCAATGAGAGTTAATTATATCAGGCACGAGACGACAGTAGCCGACCAAACTGAATCAGTACGTTCCTTAGCCGCGAGCGAGACTTGAGACGTAAATTACGACAGAAGCGACAAACTGGGCCGTTCACTTGCACTGCAAATCTGTACGTTACCTAATAATTCAGAGCAATCGTTTCACGTCATTAGACACGCTTTCTGATGAAATGTTTTATTGTCCGACTGAGGCATCGATACCACAGGTTTGAGATTCTTTCCCACGAAAGTAGCCAGTATTGTATTAAATTTGAACGTGTGCTGTGCAGCTCGAAGCGGCTTACATTTACCGCAATTAGTGCCCATTCAGTTGTGATTGTTAACCGCGCGTGCCCTGACTTAAAATAAGTAATGAAGTTGCATATGCCGTAGCCTATAGCTCATCATAACGAATATAGAAATAAAATCGAACTTCTTTAGAACGGCATACATGAAAACAGTCAATTGTTTTGATTTACAAGAGAAGAAGCTATAAATGCCGAGGTAATTTATAACAAAAGATATAAAAGCAAGTTAGCAAGGCGAAGTGCCGGTGATAAATGGTCTGCGGTAATAAGCGAGTGGAACAAGGATATGCAATAAAGAGCGGCACAAAAGGTTCAGGGACGGAGCCCACCCGCCACTGCCTGTGCGCCTGTGCATGTCATAAACAGCGGAATGTACGCTTCACCTCCCCCCTTCCACTAGCCCATTATCAGTCACGGCGTTAGCAAACAACGAGTTCCTCAAAATATTTATCACTCAGGGAATATGACGACGTATCGATTCTACCGATGACAGACTGACAAGTAAATATTTGTAATTTGATGAGACTGTCACGTAGAAATATTGCGAACCTTGCAAGTGTTACATTAAAACCAATTGAGGATTTGATTTGAATTGATATATTAGGAGCTAGCTAACGTTAATCAATTGTCAAGATCGCGACATTCAAACTTGTAACGATTGTCCCCGTTCAAACTGGTTTCCGCGTAAAATTCGCGTTGCCAAGCGATGCATCAGCCAGGGTCGGTTGAGGTAAAGCAGCGAGGCGGCACGGGGGAGGAGGGAGGTTAAAAACGCAGGAGGCGCACGAACAGCGGCCGGTCGACGACCCGCCACATGCCCTGCGCCGGCGCACCATTCGCCTCCACCGCACTCAATCCTAACACGATTACGATTATGTTAGCAAAATAGTTAAAAAATATTATATGCCACAAACATTTGAGTTGCGTGCAATAGTCTAGTAAAGAAACGTAGATGAGGGTTATCAAGTTCTGACATACATCGTACAGAATGAAAATCCGATATTCGACTCTGTCAATAACAATATTACAATAGACGCTCGTGTCCAAGATGATTTCATAACAAATTTCAATGATCAATTAATATTGCCCCCTGCGAGCGACCTAAATAGCACATGTTAGAAGCGACACCGCGTAGGAACGGGATCAAGAAGTCGTCAAGGTTAGATCCATTTATCATGAGTTGTCTACCAGACTATTGTAACTATTCATTCATTTATACACATCCTACGGCCATAGACCACAACGAACACAAGTTTAGTTAGTAAAGTATAAAAGTCAATACGACGACTCCACATATTTACACGTGGAGCTGTGAAGAAAAAATATTGGTTTACAAAAAACTTATGGACCCGACTGGACAAGGCGTGGGCGGGAGGCACGACAAGTAGATACATCGTTGAATTATGTTTGGGGTCATTGATTGAAATGATCAGCCCTAGTAAACCAGAATCGTGTTCACATCAAATAACTGTTTATCATATTGGGATATAAACGTACAAAGCCAATGTTTATACGAAAATGAAGACATGAGAACGACGAGGCGACACAGCTGTTACGCACATTGAGAGAATCAAAACACTAATAAAGTTTACCGTTTAAGTTCTAATTTCGTATGGGTGGCGTATGGCACTTGTCACGAAGTTAGTTAAGACGCGTCGAAGTATTTATAGTGGTGTTCTGTGACTAGTGTTCTAATGTAGACAAAGGGTTGGTAGTTTGTCATGAATTTGATAAAAAGACTGAAAAAACATTTATTTGCAAATCAATTAAAATTTCATGTTTGATAAAGATTTACATTAGGTAAATTTGGATCCAGATAAGATTTGAGTCTATATTCTGTATGCTGATTGTATTGCTTTTTGTTTCAGACAACGAAAGTAAAGAAATACATCTAAAATGGCGGTATTTGGTTTGGTATCGTCGGTGGCGGGCTTCGTGAAGGTCCGCTACCTCATCGACAAAGCTGTCATCGATAACATGGTCTTCAGGATGCACTATCGCATCACATCAGCCATTTTGTTCCTCTGCTGTATTCTTGTCACCGCCAATAACCTTATTGGTAAGTTTACTTTTCATTTTTACTTTTTAAGCGCCAATGATTTTTACGGTGGGCCTAGGATAGTTCCTTGTAACACACATACTAAGTACATACGTATATAGACCAAAGTCATTGATATGATAAAGATAGAAAATTGCCTATATCAGCTAGTGATTTATTCACGGAAGTCGTAAACGGGATATGGGTCATTGTCGCATTGCTAGACTGATAGACGATGGGACGTCAACAGGTTACAACTCTATACGTATTGTCTATAGTTGATTATGGGAACCAGACGTGTAGATTCAAAATAAGAAATGTCTATAAAATCAACGAATCAACGTTCGGTAAACCGAACGAAGTATACAATTTTCGTATCATTACAACAAACTCATCCTTTGTTATATCCATGAGAAGCTGTAATAAGGAAGCATTACATACTTTTGGAAAAGACAAATATAAACGAATGAGATAAAGACTAACTTTTCGGAATAATTTGACTTAGCGAACATTTAAAATCAAGGAAAGTTTTTTTTAAAGTTCCCATGAAAACATGTGACTAGGTAATCTACTAAATAATTCCCCTATTCACGCTCCGTGGAGATTCAACCTGTTTCCTAAACAAGTTGCATTATAATTTAAACATTATGTATGAGATGGAATTACTTAACTATTGTAAACCTTATAGAGTTCTGATAATATTGCTCATTTTAGTGTTAGCGTTTATTTATATCGACATTTCTAGAATAATTTGAATCTCGTGAAATCAGTTTCAGCAAACGTTTGTTTAGTTTAGTATATTCATAAACATATTTTTTGTAAATTGTGACTAAACATAGAGTCCACATTTAACGCGAGCATGAGAAAAGACCACAAACTTAATTAAAGTATGCATTAAACTTTAAATTATCACAAACATTACCATCATGTGCGAGAAAGTATTACTAAGAATCATAATATTCTAGTGAAAGCTGAACTCAGTACGCCTAATTACAAACATTAATGTTTTTAAAGATGCAAATCTTGACCTAGACAGTAACCTAAAGACCGTATAACACAAAGAGTCTAAACAGACATAACAGTCCGTCTGGCCAAATCTTGTAAATACCGAAAAAGTGTGAATCATTTTCAGGTCATTGTTCAGTACAGGAACACCGTGTGTAACAGTTACCTAAATTGAGACGTCATGACAAATTGATTGTACAAACATACACTCGTAAGCGTACGTGATAAGATTCAATTCAGTAGAGCGAAACGGGTCAGTGAACTTACAAAGCATATGAGATTATGTATTAGGCAACAAGTGCTCGAATGGACCGATTGTGGAAAGTTTGTGCATAGTAATTTACGTGGGTTGTGAGACAATGCGTTTGCATCTATTTATCGATGCTTCCCAGTCCGTCAAAACAAAAGCATCAAGCATCTCTTGCATGTCCTTCTTTGGGCATGGTTCGTCTCAACTGTTCGTTGACTTTACAATTTCGTCTTTCCCATCCTACTTTTCAGATAAGATATTGGTAGGAAGACATTTATCTAAAATGTGAAATGTCCTACTTTCGGTCACTCTTGCATCATTATTTCTTCCTAACTTTTCGTTCCATGTTGATTCCACTTTACACATCGAACTTGCTAACAAAATCCTTGGAAATAGAAAAGTGAATTGTAAAAATATTTGAAAAAAATGGACGTTTTTTTTAATCGTGTCATTTGATCACCAAAGCATGGAAAGCAAAGGTCATGGTAATCTTTCTACGGTCGACTGGAGTTTAACAGTAACAGCAGTTCAAAGTCAAATACAATGTAGAACGCGTTAAATGTTAGTGTTTACATCTTAACAGTTATAAATAGCTTATATTGCGGATGTTTATATTACGTTACTAGTGAAATCCTGTGGAAATCCTTTCTTTTATTTATCTTTTATTATTTGTTTTATGACTAGTTTCCCAGTTCACTATTGTCATAAATATGAAATTGTAATACTTATTTCTTGTACGATTATATTTCTGTATTTATCTTAAGTAAATACTAATATCTATCCGCATCACTCATAAATAACTACTAACTTCTTTATAAATTGACATTTTAATCGTGAAGGTTAGGTCTTTAATGACCCATTTTGAAAACTGAATAAAGTACTAATTAACTTTCAAGGAAAACGATAATTACTTCCTAAAGACGTATCAGTCCTAACTTCCAAATAATGTCTCATTGACGAGCCTGAGCGTCTGTTGCATAACGCACATCTGGATGCTATCAAGACGCGAGCTTATTAGAACTATAACAGTTATCATGAACTCGATAAAGACCATAAACAGTCGTTAAATGACTCGTCCGTCCATTAGGTACATTATCCCCAATTACCTAATGATTTACGCGTTAATGAAGCGCTTATGACACACATGCAATATGTTTGCGCGTCTGCTGCTTACCTTACGATCGTTATCGTCCAAAAATTAAGGTTTGCCTTTATCTTACTCAACAAGTTTTCCTTCTATGATTCATAGAAAAGAACTGACATTAATTTGTCGATATTGGGGGATTGGAGTATTTCTGGTACAGAAACAGATAATTATGAACTAGTTCTTTGCCATGTGAACGAGCTGATTACCGTTTATTACGTCTTTACATAATAAAGAACGTGATGTTAGGAAGTGCTCCAATGAACCGGTGTGGAACAAACGATGTTTACGTTCGACGTTATCGCGTGCTCCCCATTTGATGAGGCACAAACACAAACAAACTACTCCTTAATGACCACTTGTAACTTATACTTATTAACCACATGACGATATTGCTTAGTGAGGAAACAAATAGTTAAAATACGGTATTCAAATTCAATAAGATCGTGCTTCGTGACTTACACTTGAAACGCACAAGGTCTGTGTTAATTCCAATTGTATGTTAAATGGATTTATTGTTTATAAACGTATTGTTCAAAATACTTCAACTGTCGTTTAATCTCCCTATTTACAGTTTTCCTTATTCACTGCAGTTTCTAAAGTCGTGACAGACAAATTGCATTAGACAAATTAGCTAACTTGTTCTTAACAAATCTGTTTAGTGTCTCAAGATGCAGAAATGGAGTCTAACAGTTTGAATTCTAAAATAAACAATTACGTACAAGTGTGTTAGTAATTTTCACTAGTTGAAGACATTTAATGGGTCATTAGGCCGTGGCTCATTGTCTGTAACTTTCCAAGTCTACATACCATCCAACAATAGTAATATCAAATAAACTTGCATACTAAAGCGTCCAGGTTCCTTAGGCTGGGTCACGTACTCAGTGCACATTGTCTCATAGGTAGTTAGTCAGCAATCCATATGGAGTTTATTGCAACGGTTGTAGTCAGTGATATTTTGCCCTACATGCAGGCTACACAATCACATTTGTGCTTCAGGTGTTAGTAATCATAATACCATAGTTAGCAACGATAACGCTGCTACAGATTGCCTGTTACTATGCGTCTAACGAGCATTGATTAATTATTGTTTTAAAAATATAAAGACGATTGAATTGGAAACAGGTTTTGCTTACAATATCGTACATGTTTTTTTTCTTTTAATTGTAGTATACAGGTTATACTATTGATTCAACTGAACAATGATCAAAACTAGAAAAACCTTGGTCCAAAGTTTATGATTGGACCAGCATCTGTTGCGTAGGTCACACGCAACATTTTATCGGTACATAAATTGTAAAAAAGGGATGTGTAGGGAGATAAAGCATGTAGTACGTGACAAACAATAGATTCATAATAATTTTGGACGGACATAAACTGCCAGCGACTACACTATGCAATTATTATGACACTGGTTGACGTCACGACCTAAATTCTCCACACGACATTTATGATATTTTTGTTCTAAATGAGCATATGCCATGTTTGTATACTATGATGTAGGTACAATAATATTAAGTTTATGCAGTCTAGCTCACCATGACCCAGTAATAACCAGGCAATCGCAGCAAAACGAGTATTTCAGGGTACTGTTGATAGAACAGTTTTAAATCCTTATCGAGTACTTTTACAATGCACAACGTAACTTAGAATTAGCATAAGTTGAATAGCTTCGCGATAACATTAACAGCATTGGAAAGGTAATTTGCTCGTTATGTTGATTGTTGGTAAAAGCCTGAGTTGTGATTATATTGCAGTTATGTGTCGCCGTCGATTTCCCTCGATTGTAAGACTTTAAGAAGTCAATGCACTTTGAAGATAAATACTGCTACCGTTTACTGGTCGATGAAACTCATAATTTCTTCTTTATTGCGAACTTTTTAGATTACTTTTTATACAACTTGGCTTTCTCAGTTAAGACTGTGGACTCTTTGTCATGCACCAAGCTATAAAGATGTCAACGCGTTACTTGTTAAGTCATTATTTCTTATTTGTATGTTCGTTTGAGATTATCAAGACGGCGATAAATGGTCTAACAATTGCAAGTGCTCGTTATGGGGCATTTAGCAAGCATGTGACTTCGGTCAATTCGACACCTCGACTGTTGAGTCAGAGTTAACGGTACTCATATGATACAATATTTCGAAATGCATTGTGACCTATGCAAATAGTATTCGTAGATCGAAAGAAAGCGGAAATTATTTAATGCTTTTTGAATATTTTTATTTTGTTATGAAACGTATCTAGGTCAAACATACTTATTTGACTTGTAACAGAAATACTTTTACTATAAGCGTATATCGATGAATGAATTATCTATCAATATTTTATAAGTATAAGTATAAGTAAATCAGATAAAACAAGCGGTAAAATCATACACTGCGCACTGCCTGGTTGAAAGCAGTGTTCTCAGAATTTTGTTCACAGCATCCGTCATGTTGCCAGTTAGCCAGCCAGTTGGTCGCTCCCAACATTGTGGTCCAACACAGTACGGTATTGACATGTCATTGTGCGGTCCAATGTTACCGTCTACCCAAATTAAATGAGATCACATAACTGGACGAAACAGGGCAAATTAAATTCTCGTTAGTTCATTTCAATGTACACGTGGAATACATATGAAATTTTCACGTGGTATGTGAAAAAATTATGAATAAAAACCTTGTTTTTAAAACAAGCCTCGTTCTTTCGAGATAAATTAAACAATTTTGTGTTATAAGTTGGGTCGTTTATGAATTGATAACAGGAACATATAACATCGGAACTCAGCCCTCGTTGCGAGCAAGGTGATTTGAATCACGGTCGACAATTACGACGGGACGGGCAGATGCACTATTACTGACGATATTAGCGTCATCCGCAACTTGTTGTTGCAATGTCAGGGCTATGAATAGGCATTAATATTAATAAAATAATTATATCTGGTACTGTTCAATCCTGGACAAAACTTCTCATGGATATGGGAGGGAGTATAAGAATAGATTTGCAGCAACGTAAACACATGTATAGCGATTTGTTTCAGAATTTTACATCCTTAATTTGAATATCGATTGGTTTAATAAGCATAACAGGTCATCTTAATGCATATTGCCTCATATAGGTAATTCCGCCCCGAAGCAAAAGTTCCAATGGCCTTAATCATAACGACTATGTTAATGTGGACTTTAATATAACTGTAAACTGTTACGTAGGTAGTCATAATGTGACTCAGAAGAGGGTATCCAACAACTCTAGCAAATATTATAATAAATCTTTTGATAAGGAAAATGTAACCACAATGTACCCTAAATCGACAGTGACGCACCACGATTTACATTTAATCCACGTCAGGTAAAAAAACCACAACACGATTTGCCTACGTGCCGGGTTTGGGGACAACTTTCGCAATTCAGCTTATTTCATCGTTTTTTAACTACCAAGAAATACAGAGGTCCTGTTACTTTCCTCACATGACATTTATAAAAATGATTGTATTTATACGAAGGTTGAATAAATATTTGCATCATGACTATATTTTCATTGCGCACAAAGAAACGTGGGATTGTTAATACTTAAGAATGTATGATATATCTTAATTATTTCCTTCCAGGCGAACCGATCTCATGTATCAACGACGGAGCCGTACCTGGCCACGTCCTGAACACCTATTGCTGGATTACCTACACGTTCACTCTACCAAATTCACCTGCCCGAGGCATCGCACATCCCGGCCTTGGAAATGACTTCGAAGAAGAGAAACGCATCCATGCCTACTACCAATGGGTGCCTTTCATGCTGTTCTTCCAAGTAAGATTTTTTTACCAATCAGTAAATGCCAATTATTAAAAATTGCAGAGTTCTTTGTAATCGATCGAGAGGTCTTTGTACTGCGTTGCGCAATGTATGATGTAATTTTTCTTCGAGCGAGTAAATCTGACTTGCTACCTCTTAAGTTTTTGCTACTACAAACAGGTTTGAAGCGCGATCATAATTTTCTATTCAATTCCATGACGTTTGTGTACGCTGAAATAATGTTATATTGGATGTAATTGACAATTAACCTAATTGTTTCCAGGGTCTGCTTTTCTACGTGCCTCACTGGATTTGGAAGAACTGGGAAGAGGGCAAAGTCCGCATGATCTCCGATGGTATGCGAGGAACCGCTGCCAGCATTGCTGACGACAAGAACAACCGTTTGGTAAGTTCCACAACTTTGATATACTTGTAGAATATTCCCAGTGGAATGGTAAACAGATAATGTGAGCACATTAATAAGGCCAATATACATAGGTATCTTGTTTCTTAATAAAGTGGCACAATTGAGATAAGTCCCGATACTAATGAAACTTGATGAACGTCCCTAATAAGACAAATTAACTGAGCCTGGGACGTCTATTATGTAATATTCTGTTCTGTTGAGAGACCTATGTGGTAGTTCATGACTAATATTCTGTTTTGAATGTTACAGAACCGGCTTGTCCAGTATTTGGTGGATACTAGACACATGCACAACACTTATTCCTTCGGTTACTTCTTCTGCGAGATTCTGAACTTCATCAACGTGGTAAGTACATCTACAATCTAACGCACTATGACAAAGTATTAATTGCTCGCTTTAAGATAATATACTAATGACATATCATCAATAGCCTTGTGCCCTTATCATTGCTAATTAGAGGTCAACATAATATCATCCTATTTTGTACACTTCTAATATTGTATTTCTAAGATTTAAATTTATATAAAAACATTAAATAAGCAGTTTAAAAACAAACCATGGAGATGTATTACAATCACGACTGGAAGATACAAGGGGCCATTGTTAGATAGCCTAAAAAGATTAAACCCCATATAATGGGAGGCGTGGCTAAGTCATAGTTAAACTTCTTAAAATGAAAATGATCTTAAAAGACATACATTAACATACTAGTTTAATAATTTCAGGTCGGAAACATTTTCTTCTTGGATACCTTCCTCGGAGGTGCTTTCTTGACTTACGGTACCGATGTGGTGAAGTTCTCTAACATGAACCAGGAACAACGAACTGATCCTATGGTAAGTTCACAACTTTTAAAATACAAGTCTATTACTATATTAAACACATATTTAGACTTTAACTATTGATCATTTAACTGTGTTAATCATTCACTAAACATATTTGGCTTTCAACTACCATTATCTAATGTAAAATTCCTCTTTCCAGATCGAAGTCTTCCCAAGACTGACCAAGTGTACATTCCACAAATTCGGAGCTTCTGGAACGATCCAGAAACACGACGCTCTCTGCGTATTGGCCTTGAACATTCTCAATGAGAAGATTTTCATCTTCCTGTGGTTCTGGTGAGTTGACCTCTATTTACTTAAAATGCATGATTTCATACATTGCACATTCGACACTGCCTACAGTTCATTTTATTTTGGAATTATAGTATCATGTTACCTTAGTTTTGTACGTACCTACTTTAAAATAATACACTCTTATGAATTGTATTTTACTTTAGTTTTTGCTAATTGATGTGTCTCTTTTTCAGGTTCATTATCCTATCAGTAGTAAGCGGTTTGGCCCTGGCGTACTCTGCAGCAGTGATCCTTTTGCCAAGCACTCGCGAGACGATCCTAAAGAGACGTTTCCGTTTCGGAACACCAGCTGGAGTCGAATCACTTGTTAGGAAAACTCAGGTGCGTAATAGGCCAATTAAGATAATCAAAAAATGCGCAAAATCAAAATATTTGTGGCGTCAGCATGTTAGAGTGTATGTTCTAATTGTTATTTTCTTTCAGGTGGGCGACTTCCTACTCCTGCACCTGCTAGGACAAAACATGTCACTGCGCGTGTTCGGTGAAGTACTGGATGAATTGTCACGAAGGCTGCACATGAACTCCAACGCACCATCGGCCCCCTCCACCCTCGAGATGGCCCCCATCTACCCGAACATTGACAAGTACGCCAAGGAAACAGAGACGTAAGTTTTGAGACTGAGGAAGCAATACACGCAACACTATCAAAATCGTCCTGTCTAGTCTCGAATACGATATCTGAGAGAATCATATAAACGAGATTCCTATACAATCCATTTATTGAGATCTCAGCTCTTGTATCCAAGACTGCTTCTTCATAAAAAGTGCAGGACGCAGTGTATTGTTCTTTTAGTAATTGTAACGCTCATTCGCAGTAATGTAAGAAAATTCAGTTCCAACGACATGAATGACCATGACATTCCTTATTTTACCTGTTTTAAAAATAAGACAACAATTGCCTTTTTGCCTTGAGCTTTAAATTTAGTGAAAAACTACGATTAAATTAGTATAAAATTTGTTGAAACATTCGTATGATATACAAAGAACTGTTTGTTATATTGATATGAAATTTGCTGTGGTACTAACTAACTTTGCGAATCAGCAACATTTTACTGTTCACTGAGTACTATTTGTTTCGTGTTTATCTAGTGTTGTAAGTTCAATGCAACTGCAAATAAAATGCAAATGATATTAAAAAGTACACACGAAGTATACATACATTCATTTCTATCATAAGTATAGCCTATCTTTTGTATTAGTTTACTATGAAAATAGAGGTTAACAGCAAGGGAGATCTGGGCAAGTTATATCTAGACATTTATATTACTATATTTTTCATAAAATATATTATGGACTTGCCCACATCTTTTCGTGAGTAGCCTAACACGTGAGATATTTAAGACATGTTTAATTTTAACTTCTTTTATGTATTGATAATTCGATAAAATTTTAAGACAATAGCCATCATGCATTTTGATAAAATGTGATCTATTATTCCATGCTGTCTAGCTGGTCTTATATTTTATCTAATTGATATGAAATATTCAGTGAGTTAATTGTAGTAGATGTAAAGCTATAACAATGCTTCAGAATAAACATATCGACTTGAATAAGTCTTTCGATTATAATTAAGTAGATAGATATTATATAATTAGAGTATTTTATACGTGCTTTTCTTTTGTTCCATTGATTTAGTAAGCATTATGGTAAGGATATAAATGTAACTAATATTATGTGTAGTTAGGTCTGGGAGTATCTGCTGATAGTCAAATTTTATATAATGTTACTTCAATCTTGTGATTGATATCAAAAGTATATTTGGTACTAAGACAAGCGATCATAACTATATAAATGTATGGCGTGTGAATGGATTCAAGGTACGTGTGTCAATAAGTTCCAAGTGAATAATTATACTCATAAATTGTTCCAAATGTGCCATTAAATAAGATGTCCAGAGGAAAGGCCACGATTCTCAACGTATCTCAAATATTATTGTAGAATAAGAATTTGAGTCATGCATTATATTAATAGACTGTGTGATTGAAATGAATTAGACTCTTGGAATCTCGAAAATGTGTCTTCCATGCACCTTTGTTGTTGAAATGGAACTGGACTACGGCAGTTTGCTATGTATTGATTAGTTTATAATATAAAACTTTGCCATTCCTATATAAAATGTTTTGTAGTAAATATAAGATGCTGCCCATATCCTACGTAATATCTCTGAGACTGCAACAATCATTATTTCAATGTGTTACATTGTCTACATTATTATAATTCGGTAATAAATGACTTCAAATATTTTAATTTATGTTTCATTTTTGTTCCCTATCTTAAAAAATAAAGTAAATATTTATCCAAATAAATTTATTGTCTTATTCATTCTAAGGTCTATAAGACCAATATTGACCAATATTGACTGCACGGTTGGTGCGGTGGCTGGGCAACCGGCTGCCGTGCAACGTGTCGCGGGTTCGATTCCCGCACGGAACAACACTTTGTGTGATCCACAAATTGTTGTTTCGGGTCTGGGTGTCATTGTGTATGTGAACTTGTATGTTTGTAAACGCACCCAGGACACAGGAGAAAATCCTAGTGTGGGGCAAAGTTTAAAATATATATATATATATACCTAGAATCTTCAGAGGTGTTTTTAACAATTTATTACAAATTCCAGAAAATATTAAAATCATCAGTACATTAACAAGTGAGTAGAAGAGTCTTCAAGCTGTAAGACGTCAATAAAAACTTCTTTAAAAATAAAACGTCAATAGATATTAAGGAATAAAAATCATAATTTATTACTGGAACGAAAATCAAACAACACAAGCACACTGATTAATTACACGTGAAACTGCATTATATTCGATGCGAAAATTTCTTTAATCAATTACTTTCTAAACAACTGAACCATTTATTTGATTTCGTGGTGGAAATAATGTTTAAGATTTCATTATTAATGATTTAATGTCATCACCAATCAATCATCACAACAGATGTAATAAATGTAGTAGCTTTAATGCCAATATTATGACTACATATTACATTTTTACAGCCCCTTAATATATATTCAATGAACAGATACATTCCTATTTTTTTAACCGTCCATAGCATGTCCATCCATCCTATCCATTACATTGTTATCACAGGATTGAACCAACAAAACTAAAGAATTGTATTATGTACCTGATTGAAAAAGAGTAACCTATGGAGTTTCTTGCTCGTTCTTCTCTATAGAAATCTACAACTTGCCATGAGCAATTAGCTTCACTTTTAAATTCTTTGTTGACGTTCAAAAGCGCCGTCGTGAGGGTTTATTATGACGTCCTAAAGTCAGAATGGTTGCATTGAGGGAAAGAAACAGAGCTATACAAGTCGTATAGCGAGATCTCGTTCCCTCAACGGAACCACTTTGGCTTTAAGACATCATAATACGCCACCTGGTCTAATTCAAATAAATTCTTTTCACTTGACTTGCTTTTCAATTTTATCTAGTTCAGTTCAAATTTTACTAGAGTGACACAATTATGTGTATATCACAAATAAAGCTCAATGGCAACCTTATTGTTAACAAACAAAAACCAACCTTACAAATTTGATACTAACAAGCGAAATCCAGCTTTAAAGTCACTGGTTCGCAAACACATACGTTAAAAATCCTTTATAAGAAACATGCAGTCATGACTCACCTGTTACCCCAGTCGAGTTTGGCGACCAGCTTGAGTCTTAGGGCTCGGGTCTGGTCCTGGGTGAGAGTGCCGGCCAGTAGTGCTCGTCTTCCACTTAGGAGTTCTCGCATCACCTTGGCCACTGCACTGAACCTGTAGGTCTCCCGCTCCTGGAGAAATTAAGAAAAGAAAATTAATTATTTGGATTTGATGATCGGTTTTTGGGCTCTATGAGTTTTATCAGCTGTTCGGTGTGTCTTTACTAAGGCTAGCCTTGACATTAAGGTGTAATAGCATCAATAATAAAGCAATAACTCATTAATTATTTGTCAAAAACGATTCTAATTCAATTAAGAAAATCGCCTGTTAGAAATAACTGCAAGTCAATGAACAACAATTATTTTATTTGCTCACGATTTCTATAAAGAAAGAGAAAATAAATCATATCGAGTTACGATCTTTGCAAGACAACAGATGTCTGGAAAGAAAGCTATTAACTTGTCGAGTATGTGCAGTAATTGAAAGTAAGGATGTGGGGATTGTACAAGCGGGAAGTACCTGCATCTCGTCTGAGAACAGACACAACGTAAGGGGGCATGAGGGACTAAACTGGACAATGAAGTAATTTAACTGATGATGCCTTAAGCAGTAAATGTGTATTGTTTAATTTAATCATTTGTCTCATCGTATTTCTATTTCAGCTTCTTTCGTAGTTCCACAAACTAAGAATCAATTTACAAAAACCATTCCATTGAATTGTGGTAAAGAGGGATCTTTTTCAAATCACAGTCTATTGAGCATTTCTATAGAATATTTGGTAATAATAATGTTCAAATACAAAGCGACAAGAGCTTATTGTAACTGCGCCCTGTGGGAAAATCTGTAGAATAGCTAAGTATTCATTGAAGGGTACCTATTATATTTATGTTCACCAGCGCCTTTTATTTCCAAATGGGTAGGTTAGTACTACAATACCTGATTGGTCAGTTTTTGAATTTTTAGTCATAAAACCATCAGTTTCTGAATTCAAATATTCATTCCTTTATTGCATTCCACAATGTTCGACTTAGATGGTACCGTAGACACACAGATCATTATGGACCCCGTCGGACGCAGCAAGGAAATACCTAAACTGATTACCGTCATCATTCATCACACTGTTTTCTGGTGATCAGCGATATTCGATTCTATGGTTATTTCACGTATGTATAATAATAGCATATCAACTGACTGACAAAATAATTGTGAGTGACAAGTTGCCTTTTAGCTGAGCGTAATTAGCTTTGATTGGTCCCGCATTATGAACGTTAACAATATCGTCATTGAACAGTTTAATAATAATATGCTGTTCATTATATCTACTTCTACTGCGTAATAGTCGAAACCTATGTCCTACTCGGTCTATTAGAGGTTATAAATATGTATTATACAGAGCTCTGGTTCTTTAAACCAATTGATTGTGTTGTGCCACCTTCTTTGGAACATAAGGAAGTTCCAACACCAGCATTACACCAGCCTCTTTGGAGATGTAATATGTAGAGGTATGATTGTAGGTATTACCATATATTATTATTACACCAATTCATCATCATCATGTTCAGCCTATAACGGCTTGAATGCGTCGGTATGAGATACAGTAGAAAATACATTGTGTCACGCGTGGATTCGCGTTTTAGGCACACGAAAGAATAAGGGCCCACTGCTGAGCTAAGGCCTCTTCTCATAAGGGAACGATATGTATAAGCCGGGGACAATTATGGACACCATATCATACCATGCTGAGGCCATTTTTTAAGGCGGGAAAATCATCGAATGACTGCTCCCGCCTGGGTGAGGCGGAAGGGAGTGTCAGACTCTTACTGACTAAAAACCACCCCGTTCCTTCTCCTGCACGTCGAGCCGGAGCCCCGGTTACCCGTTAGGTTCTCCGCGACATGCTGAGGCCTTAGTACTACGAATTAAAGTAGGTAATCAAAACGAGACCACGTTCGGTGCTCTGGGTGCTAACTCTTAATCGCTATGTCAATGCAATTTCAATCCAATAAAATCTCAATAATTATTCAATGTCAAAACTATACAACTCCTATCGTAGCTGTAAAATAGCATTCAGAGTACGGAATATAAAGCCAAACTAAATACCATTTAGTTGATTCAATATCCACGCAATACGGATGCAATGGGCGCTAGTGTTGCAACTCAAGAGTACAAAAGTTCACAATACCAATGTCGACCGATCGGAATTGGATTCAAGAGTAACGTTGAAATACTCAAACGCCACTCAATTTTAAGTCGTGCTTAAGTATAGTTCTGTCACTATACATTCTTTGTAAAATGAAAGAGATGGCACGAAATTGGTGACTGCACGGTTGGTGCGGTGGCTGGGCAACCTGCTGCCGTGCAACGTGTCGCGGGTTCGATTCCCGCACGGGACAACACTTTGTGTGATCCACAAATTGTTGTTTCGGGTCTGGGTGTCATGTGTATGTGAACTTGTATGTTTGTAAACGCACCCACGACACAGGAGAAAATCCTAGTGTGGGGCAACGTTTAAAAAAAAAAAAAATTAAGTTGAACTTCAAATTGAGCCTTTCAACATTCGGACGTAAAATCTGGGGAGATTGGTTGGTTCATTGGAGCTGACCAATCAGAGAATCGCGATGTAAAACAAACTCGTACTAAGACTTCAGAACTCCATAATAAACACCAGAACCGAATCCCTTGCTAAGCAGTCGCTCTTGTGACCAACCAAAATTCTTTCCAGAAACAAAATATGAGGCTCATTCTTAAAACGTTAGCATCGAATCTTCCGAGTATTCATAATATTCTTAAAAAGCATTGAAAATAAGTAGTTCACACGGAAAACGAGAAACGACAAACAATGACTCATGAATAACTAAGAAAATAACTAAGAAAATAACAAAGAAATCTGTGAGTAGTGTGTGTTTGAATTTTAAAGTAGATGCCTAATACTTGTGGATGTTTTAAAGCAAATAACTTTTGGGTTGAATAGCTGTCTTGTTTCATATTTTAGTGTATTTAAGGCGATACGACAATATGTTAAATTGTAAATTCGTATGCAAATCGTTGATTGAGTAATAGATTATTTACCTAGTATTTTGACTGCTTTGTTGATTGAGTGTCTCGGGATTGTTTCCTTGATCGGATATAGCTGGTGGGTCTCTAATTTATAACTAGTTATTCCCGGTATATGGCAACAGACGCACTATCTATTATGGAATAAGTAGTGAAAACTGGATGTAAATATAAATCATACCCGTGTACTTCTGTTCATTACTTCGGATAGCAAAACGTGTTTCGTTGCTGGGAAAACCATAAGTCATACAATGAACCCTATACCGCAATGCAACTTACTTCTAGGTGTAATTGAGATAAATATGCGATTTCCGTCATCGAAACCCTGTCGTCCACTCGTACCCTATTACAATTGAATTAACAACATAACTGGCTAAAAGGCAACATCAACAAACCGTGTACGTCCACTACTGCGTTATGGGGACTATTGTATGTACATGGGCTCTACATAGGGCTTGTCATAATCTCCACGCTTGGCACGTAAGTTGGTGATCGCAGTTTTAACAGGTTTCGGTCTATAAGAGAGTACAAGTACCCAGTCTCTTTCAAATGTGTAGCAGTCGTGTGTCCACATTTGAGCTTTATATTCCGAATATAAAGCCAAACTCAATACCATTTAGTTGAGTCAATACGGATGCAATGGGCGCTAGCGTTGGAACTCAAGAGTACAAAAGTTCACAATATCAATGTCGATGATCGGAATTGGATTCAAGAGTAAGCCCCCAGATTGGATTTAACAGGTTTCGGTCTATCAGAGAGTACAAGTACCCAGTCTCTTTCAAATGTGTAGCAGTCGTAAGCGTGTGTCCACATTTGACGAATGTTTCGCATGTGTGCAGCTCGCGAGCCGTTTGCAGGCTGCCCGCGTGAATTTAAAATTATTATTTATATGGGCCTTGCATGGTCCGGAGGTATTAAGACGCAAGCTTCTCATGCATGAGAGTGCAGGTTCGAAACATACCAACAGCAAGTACCAATGTGACTTATTCAGAATTATATGTACCAATAAGTACTTTCTAAGATTATTTAGACACCACTGACAAACGGTGAAGGAAAACATCGTAAGAAAACCTAAGCTTATCATTTCTAATCATGAGTTTAAAATTGCCAACCCACTTTGAGCAAGCGTGGCTCTAAATGCTCAAACCTTCTTCGTGTGAGAAGAAGCCTTTGGTCGGCAGTGGACACTTGGCTGTTTATACTTGGCTGTTGATGATAATGATGTTGTTGAGCCTTGCATGAGTTGCACTAAAGAGGCGCGCCAAACCATTGCATTCGCCAGATGGGGACGCCCACTAAGAGACGACTAACGACACCTATGGAAAGAGTATGACTGGTAACTAATTCTACGTACTCTGCCATGACCACGCCATTCTAAAGGCAACAGCCGAAATTAAGATACGTTACTCAATAACACACTGTGATATAAAACAATTAGTATTCAATAAAAACAGTCCACATGAACAGTTTCTGTTTATCGGTACCGGAAAACGGAATTTTTCTTCATAACACATCATTGTAATGTGCGAATATGCGTTGTACATATATAAACTTAAATAAATACTTATTTATTGCTCGTTAACTTTCAATCGCGGCTCGTGGCTCGTGGCTCACTAGAAATTCTAAGCGCGTGACGAGTTTCCTGCCTCGGGTAATGCCATGGCTAAATAAGTTTGCAATTAACTTCGTTCGCAACGTATAAATCGTATGATTTATTGTTTAAATATTAAACGTCTAATAGACCATTGTTATAGACGGAATTTTGTAAGTTTTCATTCATTGTAGTGGCTGCTACTGCCTACCTATTGAATGTAATTTTCTAAAATAAGCATTAAATATGCTATATATTAACAAGGTGGTGTAATATGAACAACACAACACTAAATATCGTGTATCTGTATAAGTTATTATTTAAGAACCGGTATAAAGTTAAAATTCCGGCAAAAAAGTTAAAGTTTGTCAGTTAAAGTATGTAAAGTAGTTAAAGCCTATTAGTTAAAGTTAAAATCTGGCTGAATGAAGTTAGTATAAATCCAAAAAGTAATTCAGCAGTTCTTGAGTTAAAAAATTCAATATAACATCCTATAATATTAGTAAAATGTGCTGTAAACATTATTGAAAGCCACATTGTAAATTAATTGTCGTGTAATTATAAAACAATAAAACATGTTGAAGTTTCACAAACATACAGCAGTTGTGACGAGACAAAGACATAGTAGTCTAGTCATTACAGTATGAATCATTAGCTCGTTGCTAAACAAGTACTGGTAGACTAAACTCAAACAGTGATCTACATTAGTGATACTTGTGGATAATAAAGCTATGTTACTAATAGTATTACTTATTACTTGTAATATTAAAAACCATAACAATTAGTACTGTTTTGGTACTGTTTTGAGTATTTTTTTATTATTTCAAATGTCCAAGTCATATCACTCATTCAGCTACTACGTTGGCCAAAGGTTAAACATTGCTATTCAACGTGGTAGGTAATGCTGCCAGTCTATTGGACAAACACGATAGCGATGAGAAATTTTGTTTTGATACCTTAATTTATATCTTCTATTATTTTTTTAAGGTGTAAATATTTTAGTTTTTAGTATTTTGTATGTATAATATTAATATTAGTTTAAGTTAATTTTAAGTTGTATACATTTATTTTCCATTGTTATGAGCGCGATAATAATAAATGTATCAATTTCTAAAAAAACTAACTAAAAGGATTCTTATCACTCAATTTAATTAAACGAAATAAGACAAATGTTAAAGACAAACACATAAAAGTATTTTACTGAATTTAACTCGTCGAGTACCGTATTTATAGAAACAATTAAAGAACAATAGGTTGCGGTCACCGGTGACCGCTTGGTGTTTGACAGTTTAAAAAGCATAGATTCTTATGAAGAATCTTGGCTTTAAATTGATGTTCGTTAATCAAATCACGTCTTACAAGCTGAACAGATCTTACTCAAAGAGTGATTAAAGTCCAAATTCAATTACATAAACTCAATAAATTAGATCTCACTTACCACATATAGTTTTTTCCATAATCGAGCCCATTCCCTCAAGACGCATGCAATCTCTCGGACCAGTGGATCATCCTTCAGCTCGGCTATGGCTGTGGCACCTGATCCCTTCACAATGCATGGTCTTATGGACACCACACATGATGGAAATATGCCCCAGGAGGACCTGTTCTTGGAGCTGAAGCCTCTGTACCAGACTGGAAATAATGAAACGAGTTGTGAGATAGAAACAATAAACAGCAACTGAATTTACAAAGTGACAGAGTAGAATAATAAGTATTACAAAGTATTTGTCTAAATATTTAGCTTAGTATAGTAATATTATTATGAAAATTCCTCTTAGTCTGAATAAGTAGGAACTATGCAGAAACAAAGAACAGTTTGTTGTCTCTAGATATTGAGTTATTTCTGTATGGGTTCAAATTGAAGACCATATCCATTTATAAATAAGTTAAGTTAATTTTTAGTAGTTCAACTTCAACAGGTTTTGTAGTGTATTCTCAAGCTTAACAAATTCAAACTTTCAAATGAAGAGATACATTCAGTTAAGATAGACATTCTAAAAGTATGAATTTATAAGGTTGGGCCACAATGTCAATCCCTTGTTGTCATTGTGGCCCCCCTTCCCCAGTCGCCCCAATCCCTGAATCCCCAACAATCCTCAAATTCCTAATCCCCAAAAGGCCAGTAACGCACTTGTAAAGCCTTTTATGTTCCAGGTGTCCATGGACGACGCCGATTGCTTAGCATCAGGTGATCCTTCAGTTCGTTTACCGGCTTATCCCACAAAACAAATGAATTAATACAAGAATAACTTGTTCACAAACATAATTATCTAGTCAGATAACTATCAACTCCTAATTGTGTACTTAATACTTGATGCTCTAAATTAATGAATACAGCTAGGTCTCTTCCTGTAGGTCAGCCAAGCCAAGTACCTAGTCCGTGGGATGATAATAATTAGGTACATTTAGTATGTGTCTGTTTCATAGATAAGCAACTGAGAACTAGAATTTGTATCTAATTAACATTTCATGTTATGTTTTTGTGTCAATGTCTTTTTGCATGTAAATGAATATAAACTTGTTGCAATGATGTAATGTAAGACAACAACTAATAATATTTATGATTTTGATATTCTTTAGAAGTTTTGTCTATAATCTTTAAACTAGAAACGATTCACTTGTTTGTTCTTTGCCCAGAGAATTTTTCCCCAAATCGCCCAATAATTTTTGATAAAATAATAAACTTACAAAATGAATGCAGACATGTTAAAATCACACTAAAAAGACTAAAAACATTGTTATGTTCAGCAATCAAATATTTATAAAGGTGGAACTATTCAGGTGATCCTTAAAGGATTTTTTTTAAAACCATAATATAATTCTAATTGTTTCTGTATGGGAAAATAATAACAAAATTATTACTTGTTTAGCCATTGTTCAGTTATAAATTGTTAATTAAGCCACATAAGGTTGTTTGATCACACAAACATAAAACACTTCCATTTTTGTTGGTTTCTCACATTATTATAGTGTTAATAAAATTATGTAAAAATATTATATAGGATTTACCTCCATTCTCTTCTAATATTTGGACAGTCTCCCCGATTTCCAATGGCAATCCCGATCTGACATCTCCTTTCCAGTTATAAACAGCTGAAATGTAAATATTTATAAAATAAAACTCATTTTATTGACAATCAATATTAGCACAGATAACTCAAGGCCTTTATAAATTAAATGTTTACTAACTGTATCTATTAATTTGTTTTATTTATAAAAGAAAACTCTCCGCTAAAAGAATATTAAGGTGATTATACAGTGGAAGGATTGAAGGTTTAAATATTAATCTGTCGAGTGCAACTATATTATCGGACACAATAGAAAATATAATGTTGGTGTCCCACTAAAACCCTTGTTTTATTTTATATCAGAAATCTGGCAATGTTCATCATGTTCAAGCAACAATGAATAAATAAAGGTATGGAGCAAGGAATACCATAAAGGTTATTATTACTTATAGACAAACTAAGTGATAATAAACAATTACCCCGGTACCTACATACATAGTAATCAACTTTTATTTAGGTATTGATCACAGTTAATATCATTTTCTTAGTATTTTTTTTAAATCATAGTCAGGGAAACATTTTGCTTTTCATTCAAAATTTTACTATGAGTGAATGCAATACTGACTGCCTCGCTACGTGTGTGCTTGCAAGTCTAACTGCCCGGCAAGTGGTCTCGGTTTCGATTCCCAGGTGGCACAAACTATTACTGAGTTTTTTTTTAAATGAGATTTAAAAAAATCCCTGTGGTCTGGAATTGTGCCCAGTATATGGCAATAGGCTCACCCCCTATTACGTGGGATTCATAGCATAAATTGTGAAAAGTGGGTGTTACATTGTACAGTGGCATTAAGTGTTGTAATTTGCACTTCTGCCTACCCCTTCAGATCTCTGAAGGGAAAGGCAGAGGTGCACCTTTTTATGTAAAAAGGTGTGATGTTATGTGTTTTATGTAAATGCAATATTCTTGGTAAATTATGTAACTTTACACTGAGTAGTAAATGAACCACTGAGAGTGGCAGATAAGATAGGATGCTTCAGTAATAAAATCAGTATTGTTGCAATATTATATGAGAAAGAATGGAATTTTGATATTTATATTTTGTAGATTAACTACTCATACAATTTTATATTTGTTTTGAGTATATTGTATGCTATATCTATAGTTTGCTATTGAATTTCTTGTATAATCTTATTAGGTAACTATAATAATAGAATAATAAAATAAATATCTGAATTTAGGGTTTCATATTGTTTGAATGAAACTGTGGAGTCAAATTGAATTTTCTTAACAGAGAAATGGTAACACAGTAAAGATATTATTATAATATTTAAAAAAAACAAATCTTCCAAAAATATACAATTAATTTTAAGTTATACCATTTAAAAAGAATAATCTTTGATGCATGTATCTTGGACACTAAGTACAAGTTATTCTATAAATAGGCATTACAAAAACAACTTCTTGGTCTGAAAAACAAGGCCAAAAAGTGAGGAAAACAGACTTGGTTGACAAACAATGCATTCTATCACTGATTGAATGACCAATCATGAACATCCTTCTTTAAGATGTCATCAAAATATCATAGCTAGTCTCTCATAGCTTTTGTCTTTATTAGTTAAAATTCATAACATGTTATTTCGTTTCCGCTGTAATTGGCAGGATGTATCCGGACCGCGTAATGCTGATTGATTAAAAAAAATACAACTTACCGACGCCTAGCTTTGGTGATTTCGTAGGAATCCACATTTTTACACCAAACGCCGCCAGCTTCAATATATTTTATACACAACATTCACTGAATCATATTAGAAGAATTGTTATTTTCTTCCGAAAATAGATTTAATCAATTCCGAACAAAAACCTGTGTTCGATCAAATTTTTGACAGCTGAGTCGAAGTGATGTGAATTTGTTATTTAGTATTAGTAACAGATGTCATTTAATAAGAACAAAATAGTAAACTAATAATTTTATTTATTGAGTAATATAAAACGTAACTCTCATTATTTTTAAAAATTTTTTAGATGTTTCAGGTGTGAAAATAATATGTTACACAAATGAAATTATAATAAACTAAACTAATGACAATAAATATTGAACTAGTTTAATGTACTACTTTAAATATTATAAAAGTGTGTCAAAAATATTTAAATATCCCAAATACAATACCACATTTTATAAATATTAGAAGTCATCAACTTTGTCAAACGCATAATTATTTGAAATGTATAACGCCTTGGTATTATGACTTTAATGTTATACTATTTAATTGAAATAAATAAATAATACATTCATTTGTGTAGTATATAAAACGTATTACTATAAACTTTATGTTTTTATTAAACTATCAAAAACAAATTGTTTATTAGTATACCGAAATAGTCGATTAATTTGTGTGGAAATGCAATTTGTCATCTAGGTCAACACTATTGGTGCCAATTTTTGACGTTGACTTTCTTTTAGTCAATGTCAACTGGCCACACTTGCTTGTGATTCATTCATAAACATTCGAACGTTGTTTTGTTTGTATTTATACTATTCTATTTATGTACTAACAATTAGAGGAGTTAAAAGAAGTCTGAAACCATTAAAATGTCGGATAATTTTATACCTTTGAACCAAAGCACGCCAGTGCAGAACAGATGGCAACAGAACAATAGTCAAAATTCACGATATAAGGGTCGTGGCGGTGGAAATCGTGGTGGTCGCAATAATAGCTGGAACAACTCGCGGTCTAGCTTTGGAGTGAGTATTATCACTGAAAATATTTATAATTTACTTTAAAAACATATAGATAGTGTGTTTGTCACTATCAGCACCGGATAAAACAAAAATTTGTGTAACCATTTGGAGTCTCAGCATAACATTGAGTTTAGTAGATAATTAAATTAAATCCTCAGATCATACAACAAAATACCATAGCATATACCTAATAAACACAAATTTAATGACAACTTATAAAAAATTGGATGTGAAATGTACCTTAAAAAACTGAAAAATCAATAAATACCTAACTATGTAAACTCAACTTTTATCTTATGCTATTATTTGTTATTGTTTGTTTAAACATGTTTATTTTCAGTCTGATTTCAATCATTGTTTTTGTGTTTGTTAGTCCATTTATCGAAGAACTTTATAGGCTACAAAAAACCATCATGCTAAGATCAATAGAAGCCAAGCAGAGTGCGGGTGTAAACTTGCGAAAGTAGCTAGTTATTTTTATACTTATACTAGCAACCCATCCTGGCTTCGCACGGGTGCCATTAGAAACCTCTAAATTTATCAGTGTTTCTCTACTATATTATGCATGTATTATACATATAAACCTTCCTTAAGAATCACTCTATTGAAAAAAACCGCAACAAAATCCGTTGCGTAGTTTTAAAAATCTAAGCATACATAGGAACAGGGAGATGGCAGATTGCGACCTAATTTTATACTATCTACTGATTAAGCCCACAACTAATGTAAAGCTCCATTTACTGTTTAAAATATCTCTCACAATGTATGTACAATGTACACAGCATACATCCTTTACTTAATTAAGTTATACTTTTTAATTTCAGAGCAACTCCAGTACAAGCTACAGTACTGGCAACAATAGTCCGCATCAAGAAAGGTTTAATGTCCAAGCTTACATACATCCATCAATGCTGCAAGATCCCTGGGCTGAGCTGCGAAGAGAAATGGCTCAAGATAGTAGTAATTAGTACCTAATATTTAAGAATTACGATCTAGTTTAGGAATTACGTAAATTAAGTCAGGGTTTGCTTCACAATATCTGATAATTTACTGTTATTATATTAATAATTGATTGATGAATAATTTATTAAAATTATTACTTATTCAGTTTTATTTCTTCATGATTAGGCTAACAGTAACTTTATGTGTTGCTGTGGAATATGTTCCATGTCTGTACACATTTTAATGTAGGTATAAAATACTTTGTGTATAAAAAGTAATTGCAATTCAATTTAGATGATTGATATTGACTTAAAAATGGTTTTTGAAATACTTACATGTATTGAATATGAATGTGACTGGTCACTAAAGTAATTGTTTTATTTAATTTCATCATTATTTTTATATAAGTTAAATATTCGACTTTTAGATTGTAAGTACATGGTTTAATTTTAATTGTTTGTACATTCGTTTTTTTATTGATTTGACTTTTTTGTTTAATTGTTTGTGGTATTTTTGTATGTGCCACTTAGAACATGAGTTGATATAAGTACCTAATTTTAGTCATCAAGTAATGTTGATCAACAAATCAACAAGCTATCTAAGCCCCGATTATTCCACAACTAGATCAATTTTATCAACTTTGAATATTTGACAATTCTTCCATACTAAAAACTGTGAAATGTCAATTTTCTACAGTCACGAAATAAGTGATGTTTAAAAAATCAGCTCTTAGAAAATTAAACATGTTCTATATCCATTTTATAGAATAAATTATTGTACAAGATTATAAACTAACAAATTGATTACATAGACTTAAGTGTTGTAAGATATTTTTAGTACAGTCATCTGTTACCTATAGAATTACCTGGTACCTATAGAATTATATTATTATGTACCTACTAACTACTTATTATTAGACTGAGCCTATCAATGTTTCTAAGGGCCGATTTTTCAATAATCTGTTGATTCTTAACTGTAGAATAATATTGACATTTGACAGATTTTAGTATGGAAGAATTGTCAAATATTCAAAGGTAAAATTTATTTAGCGTTAGAAAAATTGGCCTTAAGGATGTTAAAAGTGTATTATTACAATAAACTTGTTAACTTAATTAATATTTAGTTGTGTTGTTTGCTCCTTTGCTCCCGTAGTAAAAATTCAGTTGTAGGTATTGTAATATTTCATTAGCAGGTATTTATGTGATAATAAACAACCCAGTTATTCCATTACAATTTTATATTTTTTTATCTTATGTATCTGGCATTTTAAGAAATAAAAACAAAACTGCACTTAGCTTAGTAAAAAATAACGTGATGTTATATTGACCTTTCAGAACAACTATTTTATTACCTAGTACCTACTTTAGTAGAAGCAGGTTTCATTTAAATACAAAATAAAATCATACAAATATTTTTTTATTTGCTCGTTGGTTTAGTAGTCGGGACCACGATGCTTCATGTCCCGTTCTTCCTGCTGAGGTTCCTAGTTCGTAAAAAAGAAAGTGTCTCTTTTAGTGCAATAAGTTTCTCGTTTCAGAGACCTAGGTATATGTCTTGTACAAGTCATTTGAGTCGGTAATGTAGAAATAGGTGAACCTACTAAAACGTCACTCAATTTTAAGTATAGTTTAATTAAGTATACAAATGGGGTAGACGACTAATTTTTATTTTTATGTCCGTCTGATAGATTATTTAAAAACATTAGACACGTATTTTTTATTTTCTCACAGAAACGAATAGTTTCGAAGATATATTGATTTGAAATGTCGCGTGACGTCACTTCTCAGTACATTTTATACTAAGGAATGACGTTTTAGCCCCCACTCCTAAACTTTGATTCGTTTTATCTAAGTATTGTTTTATTATACGACAAAATAAAAAAATACGTGTCTAATATTTTTTCATTGCCTAACTTACGGACTAATTATATTTTTAATTTTCATACCCTGTCATCATCTCCATTCTGTGTAAAATGAATAGAGATGGGTAAAAAGAGAAGTAAGTAAAGATGACCACAGTATAAATTGAGTATGGATTCTGCTATGGGAAGAGCACCGAAGTAAGTGGGTACCTACCTACGTTCCCAATTTCCCATCGTTTCATGTTTGAACTGTGTCAAGGTTGTGAGATTCAGGGCAAGGGATTCATGTACCCGCGGGTACTTATAGCGGTGAGATAAGAAGAAAGGAATATTGTATCGTGGACTGATAAAAGTAAACTTGATTGCCATAATGTGCCCAGGCTTCGCACGTGCTTTTTTTTCATAGAACCGGTCAATAAAAATAGAATCTTAATTAGGTCGAGTCGTTTTTGAGTTATGGTTAAAATTCTAACTTTTATCGTCACATCAGCTACTCTCGCGCATTTTCACCCACTTTTCTCGGCTCCTATTGATCGTAGTGTGATAGTTAATTAAAAGTAATTGCCTATTGCCTTCCTCTATAAATGGACTATCCAACACAAAAATAATTATTCAATGCGAACCAGTAGCTCTGGAGACTACCACGGTCAAACAAACTTCAGTTTTATAAAAAAATATGTAGCTGCCTAGATAATACCTACCTAATTAAACACGATCCAATAATCAAACGAATAATGAATCTAATAATAACGTAGGTACTTAGTTACCTACCAACTATTCATTTAATGGAAGAGTCAGCAACATAAATAATGCTTAAATGGATTGTTTAAAATAAAAAAAAATCGAGGTAGATACCTACCTACAACTTAGGTGCTTCAAAGTTCTACATAAACAGGTAGATAGATACTTTTACATATAACCTATCTGTTGCTCTGTCATAGAACAATGTTCTTTGTTGCAAGAATAGATAGCCAACTCAATTTAAAGTCTCACATATTAACAATTTATGACCTAAATTCAGATGGGGCCCAATAGGAATGCGTTACGGAGCCGCGGAGGACTTAATGGGTTGCCGGCGGCTTCGGCTCGAAGTGCAGGAGTAGGAACAGGGTGGTTTTAGTCAATAAGAGTCTAACACTTCCCCCCCGCCTCACTCAAGTGTGAGAAGAAGCTCGATGATTTACCCCCACAAAAAAAAAATCTAAATTCCCCAATACTTTTGTTGTTAACAGTACAAACACATAATTACTCGTCCTTATAACCCTTTATCTGTACGCGTATAAACAAAAACAAAACAGATTCCAAATGAACAGTGATCGGACCGGTTGTGATTGTTTTATTTCAATCGATATTCGATAGTTCTAGAGGTCTTATAAAGGTGCATCGCTGTGTATTTGCATTATACTCGTCTAGCTAACACATGGAAAATATGAAGCTTTGTCAGCTTGTGTTGTGTTTAGTGATTTTAAATGTGGCTTTGGTTCTGGGTAAGTTGATTTTATTTATTTTTAATTCATAGATCGCTATTGAATTCTAGTATAGCTTTTTTAACTTTGTTTTGAATCTTAATTGCCTATTAAGTATAAATAAATATCTAATGGATAGATCCAGGTATGTACCTACCTACCAAATTAGAGTTTTAAGGTACATTATTAATTTATTGAGTTAATTAACATAAGAAGTAGGTATCTAGGTTTTTATTTACGATAGAGGAATAACAATTAGATTTATCCTATAAAAATTGACCAGGCAATGGTGACGCGAAGTGCATCAACTTCAATATTGCTCTATGATCTGAATCAGGTACGTTCTATAGCCGCTTACTATTATGAATTAGCTGTTAATTAAAGCAGTAGGTAGCTCTCAAGTTTCCTTATGTAGAAAATCGATACCATGAAATCAAATAATTTCGAGAGATGTGAAGTTCCTGGGTATCTTGGTAGCTATTGCCTATAATGAGCTATTAAAAACTACATCCAGATAAGTAGGGAGATACGTGAATTAACTATTTAAAGTATTTATAGGTAATTAGGATAATTAGCTGGCGTAGTGGCGCCTAACTCTTAGTGGTTACAGATATACAGATAACATTAATGTGGAATTGTATGTGTGTATTTGAAAAGTTGGTAAAGTAATATAAGATGTTGATGATAATATAAAAGTTGGTAAAGTAATATGATCGAATGGACGGAATGAAAATGGTTGAGATTGAAGGACTCTCCTTCCGCAGATAGTATATGTATAAGTGAAGACGTTGCTCTGTTTAATAATAATAATTGTAAAAGACGGTCATTTTTGAATACATATGTATGTAGTCGTGTATTGCGACTACAGTACTCCCTTACCATAGACCCTATTAATGTCTAATTAGTAATTAGTTTTTTATTGTTCTATGGAATAAAAGGCAAATGAGCAGACGGATCACCTGATAGTAAGCGATCAGCCCCAGAATTACGTATAACTACCTACTTAAGGCACTCAGACTGCCTCGTTGGCCGAGTGGTCGCAAGTGCGACTAGGGGCTAGTGGGCTAGGGGTCTCAGGTTCGATTCCCGGGTCAGGCAAAGTACCTATTACTGGGTTCTAAAAAAAATCTCAGTAGTAGCACATACGGAGTCTGGAATTGTGCCCGGTATATGGCAATAGGCTCACCCCCTATTACATGGGACTCATAACATAAATAGTGAAAAGTGGGTGTTACATTGTACGGTGGTATAATTTGCCCCTCTGCCTACCCCTTCGGGGATAAAAGGCGTGATGTTATGTTATGTTGAGGCATTTAATTGTGACTTATTAATTGATTCAAATGGTGACGTGTTTAACTATCTGCAGGACTATTGTGCACGGTGCACCTGCCCGTTTTAACTTGAAACTTGCTTAGAAACTTACAGTAGTAACTTACTTCAGTAAGGCGGCAAAGTTTCATTCAAACTGTTAGGATTGCTTAACCATTCACTTGCTTACTGCTCAGCTGAGATCTAGTTTAGTTAGTTTAGTAATTTTAGTTAAAAAACATGAACAATATGTAGGTAACCCTTGTATCTACTTAGGATAGGTCATAATGTAGATGCCTAATTTTTATTTTAATATCCGTCTGGTAGGTTATTTATTTTAAATCATTACACACGTAGGTACCTATTTTTTATTCTCTTATAGAAACATATTGATTTGAAATGTCGGGTGACGTCACTTCTATGTATATACATTTTTTATGTAGAAATGACGTTTTAGCACCAACTCCTAAACTTTGATTCGCTTTATCTAAGTATTGTTATATTGTACGACAAAATAAAAAAAATACGTGTCTAATATTTTTAATTACCTAACTTATGGACCAATTACATTTTTAATTTCCATACCCTGTCATCATCCCAATTAGGATTAAGGAAAAAAATATTTTTTTATTTAAACTGATATAATGTAGATATGTAACAATGTTATGTAGATACATACAGGTATTAAATACAGGTACCTAAGTATGTTGTGCCTATTTCGGAACACGAGAACTAAGCTGTTTCATAATTAAAATTATTAGATATTAAGTTACCTACTTCTTAATTATTATAATGAATCCTCTACTACTGTACTGGATACCTATTTACATAGATACACGTGTATACTTAAGTATTTAACAAGCAATAATAATTGCATGATAAATAGGGCATGACCCATTTATATATAACAATATTATGTACCTAAAGAACTATAGTATGTGCTATGATAATGTTACTTGACACAACGTAACTAGGCATTGAAATCGTCAGAAAGTTTGTACCATGTTGTGAGATTATTAAATCGCTTTAAAAGTTCAATTCTGAGGAGTTACCAATGTGCGCTCAACTATAAAGCATGAGGTCTTGCGTTAAACTCCCTCATATTTTCAGAAATAGCTAGGCTTTTTTTTTAAGGGGGGAAAATCATTGAATGACTTCTCCCGCCTGGGTGAGGCGGAAGGGAGTGTCAGACTCTTACTGACTAAAAACCACCCCGTTCCTTCTCCTGCACGTCGAGCCGGAGCCCCGGTTACCCGTTAGGTTCTCTGTGACTCCGAATCGGCATCGGCCCTATTGGGCCCCATCTGTATTATACTACTAGTACAGTACATCACCCTGTTAGGGCGCAGCAATTTAACTTATAAATAATAACTAAATAATCATCTAATATATTGTGTACTTATTCTATTCATTATTAACTTAATTCTGAGGAGTTACCAATGTGCGCTCAACTACAAAGCAAGAGGTCTTGCGCTTAACTGCCTCATATTTTCGGAAATAGTACAGCTAGCAGCTAGGAGCCTAGGACTATCCCCGGTATACAGCAATAGGTTCGTCTTCTATATTGCACTCTTTAGTGATGAATAGGTGTTACATAATTTAATGTGTCCTATCTGCCTGCCCCCTTGTGAAAAACTAGAGGACGTATGTATTTTAACAAGCGTTTATAATTCCATGACATACCACCTTTGCTACACAATCCAGTATTAACTTTACATTTTTAACTTTCGTGAGACATACTGAAATTATTGTAGTTACAAGCCATGATACAGGCAGAAGAGGAATATGAGCCTCTAGAATGGCTTGAAACTATTCGAGGTCCTCGTCAAATAGTTACGTGAGTAAGCGGAAAACATAATAATTAATTTACAGTATCAATTTCTTATATCCGGCTGATTGTAGTAATGTAAGTAACCTGAACCTATAAGTACACCAATTACCAAAGTTTACCGGTTTCCATAATATTACCGGATACCGCTGTGATAAAACGACTGGTAAATTATTCAATATTTATCTTTTTATTGGTCGTAAACATTCCATTCACTCGCAATTCTTCCCTTTATCATAATTGCGATAAAATTGGGGGTGAACAGGGTAAAACGAGTCAGACTACCACACAATACACCCCTATCGTGACGATAATATGGGGTAACTAATATCTATAGGTAGGTAGAGGTCCCTACATAACGACAATATGTAGGGGCAAATATAGAAATTATGGAACATAGAATTGGGTATTTTCCTTAGTCTAAAATAAATTATTTGACCTATTCAATACAATAAAATATTAAAAAATTGTTACACTTTCATTAATTGATTTTATGGCCAGCTTAATTTTAGTGTTATTTCAGCACATTTTTAAGAAATAAGTATGCTGTTTGACGCTAAAAAAACGTGATGACACAACACAAAATCTCGTATAAAATTCATAGAAAACTGTTGTTTTTGACAGTTCAAAAAAGTATTGAATGTGACTAGTTGGCAAGTACTCAATTTAAGATACAACACACACACACATCGATGTCCGTGATAATTATGATATCATTTCAAATCTTTTCCTTATACGAGTAAAGACTTACGTGTGTAGAACACTGCAGTGTTGAATTGACGCGTTTAAGGTCTAAGGAGGTAGGTACCTACACCAGAAAGCGATAGCATAGCGTAGCTAGACCTAGACGTGTGCAGTGTGGGTCTGTTCCTATGGTCTAGAACTTAAAGAGGGTTACTTACTCTATGGACTACTCGGATCTACGCCACTGTGCATCAGTGCTATTAATCGTTGACCATGCATATAAATGCATAATTACATTTTAAGTATTTATTAACATCAGAAGGGTCAGACAACACATTATTTCTTGAAGACTACTACTGTAACTAGTAAAGGTTTATACTTCAAATGTAGCACTCACTTTTATATATTGCCCCATAAGAATCTAAACCCAAAAATGGTAGGTAATCAGCAGACGCATCCTACCTAATATTATAAATCTGAAAGTGAGTTTGTTTGTTTGTTCCACCTTCACGCCGTAACTACTAAACCGATTGCTTTAAATTTTTGCAGACGTAAAGTTAGAAGTCTCGATTAAATAATCTTTCTATAATCTTTCTATCGGGTCCTTTTTATCCCGAAAAAAATTGATATTCCCGAGGGAAAACAAAAGTATTGGTATAGATGGCGCTGTATGTATTGGTATATGTCACATAGGCTACTTTTTGTGACGCGAGCGAAGCCGCGGGTAAAAGCTAGTTTAATATAAAGCAAAAGCACTAATACTAAGAAAAAATAATTTTCAGCGGCCTGCCCACCTGGTGAATACAACCCTGGACCAAACTGTGGCTTGGAACCATCATGTTCAACAAGAAGTTCTCATGCATACCCGAAGCACACCTGCGATTGCTGGTGCATACCTGGCACGTATAGAAACCTGGATACCAACGCATGTGTCGACCTGAAGGGATGTTAAGATTAAAATTAAGTATTGTTAATTATTAAATTGTGTTTTAATTGTTTCATACTGTACATCTTTAATAACATTTGGCTACACGTGCTGTTAAGAAAAAATACTTTCCTATTTTTGTAGGTACTCCAGTTGTAAGTCAGTTTGTTTTTAAACTACATGTTTTGCGTAGTCGCGAAGACAGTGATGAGTGAATAATTATTATACAAAAATCATAAACTGAAATGTATTAGGCAGTTGTCCCACCGCGATGACGAGAAAACGACTGTCGGTTATTTTTTCGCTCAAGAAACGTATAACAGATAAACATTCCGTGTAAACAAAAGAGATGCACATACGAATCGTTGATCGCTGACTATTCACACTGCCTGCCGACGAGCACTTGCAAGAGTAACTATTGGAACTATACTTACTCGCTCCCCGCGGGTCGCCAACTGGTTTTCAATTCTAGGTCTACTCGTTACTCGATCATCGTTGACATTTTTACTTGACTAGGTACATACCTAGAGGGTGGACACGTATGTATGGACAGTAAAAAACAAGTTTTATTTTCATTAAAGTAAGGAAATGGCAATAGACTCACCCCATATTACATGGGACTTACAACATAAATAGTGAAAAGTGGGAACACCAACATTAGAGGTGCCTATTATGCCACTGTACCTCTACAATGTTTATTTATTTATTTATTCATGTACACAACACAGACAATACACAGAAAAAAATACATATTATAACAAAACAGAGGTACATAGGTACTGTTGTTACATTGTACAGTGAAACTTATCGTATACATTGTAAAACATATCGGACAAACACAGACAGATTCTTTATACTAATTAAATTCCTCAATTAACGATTTAAACAATTTTTTACCTCAAACCAGAACACAGATTCCTTACAAAAAATCATCTATACATCATATTTTGTGGGTTCTATTATGCCTGGCAAATTAATTGGTCACAAGACCGAAAAAGGTAGGAATCCCTCGTTCTCTTAAATTGAACCGTATAACAATGACTGACGACTTGTAATTATGTGCTCACAAACCGTAGCATTTATTGTTATTAAAGAAGTCATTAGTATGATATAATACAATTACATATATATGCAAAGATTTTATCTTTTATAGGTATACGTTTTACTTTGTACATCGGTGACTTACTTGCTTCCTTGATGATGAGTCTTAGTGCTATGTGACGTCAGAAGTTGCTATAGGATATTGAATGATATTTTTTTTAATTGGGACAAGCCCGCCACAACCTCCCAATACCAAGCTGCAACTCTTGTAAGCCAGGTTCTACAGTAGATACCTGATACAACAATGAAAACACCCGAACATTGAAGTCCGGCGCGTCCCAGAGACATGAATAACTGTCTTGGTTCCCGCAACTAAGCGAATCAGAAGATATTATAAGAGGAGAAAAAAATATTGAATGATATGTAAGTTTCAAATAATTTAATTATAACTCTTTAACACATCTATAGTTCCTAAGACACTGGTTAACTGAACCAAACGTAATTTAATGTCGTAGGTTTGATTGTATCGTAACTTTAACCAACCACAAACCGCTTTTATATTTCGAAACTGTTGTCAAATTCACGACACAAGAACGTCCCGTAGTGTAAGACTAAATTAAAAAAAATGTAATGCATAAATGTTCCTATGTATTAGGTATGTGATTATCTATATATACCTACCTTACTCAATTTTTCCTTCATATACATAAATTAGTTTATTAACTGCCTCGTTGGCCGAGTGGTCGCAAGTGCGACTGCCGGGCATGGGGTCTCGGGTTCAAATCCCGGGTCGGGCAAAGTAATACTGTGTTTTAAAAAAAATCTCAATAGTACCACATGTCTGGAATTGTGCCCGGTATATGGCAATAGGCTCACCCCCTATTACATGGGACTCATAACATAAATAGTGAAAAGTGGGTGTAACTTCTGTGTGCACTTCTGCCTACCCCTTTAGGGATAAAGGGCGTGATGTTATGTTATGTTATGTTTATTAACTCTTTAGTTCCTTAATCCATCGGAAAAACCAATGTTACGCCTAGAAACATCCAACACAACGTGACCAAAATAGAATAATTATAACCTGCTTCATAAAAACACGAATGTACATATACATAGAAGTACTTATATACTTCTATTGTTATATTACGTTTGTATATAACACGTGAGAAACATGTTTGCATCGATCAGTCTCATCTCTGCGTTTGGAGCTAATCGATTTCAAATTAGTTTTCTATACCACAAAGTAGTTTTATAGTTCCTCATAATAGTCTGTTAATAGTGATAACGTTTATTAAATTGGCTTCTATATACGTAATTTGTTTTGTTGAACTATCAAAGTAAACACATCTATCTAGGAATGTGACCTCTTTTGTGAGTACAAAATTGAATAGTGCGAAAACAATTGATGGTTTTGAAGACACAAAATGCTGGTTTACAGTCTACGATGATTGGTCTAAGATGTATAATTTTTCAACAAATTAGTGGCACAGATAATCAAGGTGAAGAAGTTATTTAAACAGTTGATGTGTTGTGATAAATTGCATTCGTTATTGTGTATGTGTGCCGTCAACATGAAACGTTTGACAGTTTTATTTGTTTTGTTCACAATCGTAATTAGTTTATTACAACAAATGAATGGTGAGTATTTTTTGTATATTTACGTTATATTCCCAAAGAATAGACATGTGTTTTTAATGTTCTTTTATAGTGTTTTTGTTCGAAATTGTTTGGAACAAGTTTTGATTACATTAATTGTGTTTATTCAAATGATTAAACGAAGTGTGTAACTAAGTGTAGGTACAATTCAATATTTATAATTTAAATATTGAATTTTACACTTAACACACAGTTGTAGGTAAGGTGTTTGTGTGTGTAATATCATTTTAACTAAGTGTAGGGCGTCTGCCCTTACACATTTGGCAGTATGAATGAATAGTAAAAATATTATACAATGGTAATGCATAAGTGTAGTTGAACATGGTAGTTAAAGAATCACATAATTTATTAATGCAGAATAATTAATTGCCCGTCTAGTTGGTTGAATGACAGCAAAACATGAGGTCTTTAGTTCGAACTCCAGGTCAGTAAAAATGGCTAGGTATAGCTGTAGGAAATTATCTGTGTTCTATCAATATAGGAATACATGTAGTTAGTAGCAAAACCACAATCATATAAGGAGTTAAATCTTAGATTTTCGCAACCATGATATATTTAAATAAAATTACTACCAAAGAGTAAGGTTGACCACGTTTACATATTCACCTAGATTAACTAGTCTTCATTTTGAAAATTCCAGCGGAATGTCCCCCGGGTCAATACGATCCCGGCCCCGACTGTTCCTTCGAAGTCATCTGTGGTCTTCCAAGCGCTCATTCAGCGAGACGACACTACTGCGACTGCTGGTGTAACCCTGGGACCGTCAGGGACAGCATCACCAATGAGTGCGTCGAAAAATGTCCGTAGTTTAATTGAACATTGTTTTTTAAGTACCTAAGTATGTTTGTTTTAAGTTATTTAAATGTTTAATGTGGGATTGAGTATTGAGTTTCATTGATAACTGTTTAATTTCTGCCAGTCGTTGATTCTTATATTCAGGCAACAACTAGAAGCTCCCTCAATCAACGAGCATGCATGAAGAGATTGATGAATGTAGATGTAGCGAAAAAGGTATGCCAGTGTCGTATCATTTGTCGTTCCGTTCTATTGTCTCTGCCTACCGCCATGCCCATAGGAAACAGGCATGATGATTATATATGTATGTACAACTATAAATTTTAGCTAGAGTATGAATTTTATGTTATTGCCTTATAAGACACTAATTTTATTGGTCAGGCTGATACTGAGCACCCACTCCCGGCCGCTATCCCACTACTGCCCGATACGGGGACTTTTGGCTGCTGGGTTTCCCCCCTAGTCCGGTGCGCCCCTCCTTAGTAGACCTGCATCGCATCGACTCCTCCGGGGGATCCATATCAATACCAGGCTTAGTGTGGACGTCCAGTCAATATGGGCCACTCAGCACCAGAACCCCACCTTATAAGACACTAGCTTCAGGCACCAGCTTTGCGTTAGTTAAAAGTATAAGTATTTACGCTTAATCTGTCAAACACCAAGCGGTCACCGGTGACCGCGACCTATTGTTCTTTAATTGTGTCTATAAAACCGGTACTCGACGAGTTAATGCAAGTAAATGTACCTACTTACGTATGTACATGGATAAAGCGACAAAGAAAACTATTTGTAGAAATAAGGTCAAATTCGTTTTATATCCTTATCTTTAACCCAGATATGCATGTGTCAGACCTCTGGACATAATATTTATTTTTCATTCTGATATCTAATTTATGTCGTATGAATACTTTACTCATGTATCAGTATATTTCTAGGTTAATAATTTTAATTCATAAATATGTAATTACTTAATTATTATTATTGTTGTAGAACTTTGTTCTAGTAGTTGTTTATCACGACACTGTTGGTCAAAGTCGTAATTATGTAGGTACTATGTATAAGGTTAAAATGTATGAATTAAATCTGAATACAAATGATATCTGAGTATAAATGGAGAATGTAAGGATAAGGAATAGAATCTAATCTTTGCCAATAATTATTGTAAGGTATCGTTACAAACACTTCTCTTAGTTGAAGTATCAAATCTAAAATTTTAAAGCTAGGTATGGTAGATATACTTTATAGATATAGTGTGATAGATCTGATGGTTCGATTTGAAAAAATCATTCTTTTTTATGAGAAACTGGTAAATGAGCAGACAAATGGACACCCGGAACACTAGAAGCGTTACCAGCCTTTTAGGGATTAGGAATTTGAGGATTGTTGGGGATTTAGGGATTAAGGAGATTGGGGGAAGGTGATGCAATTGGGCCTCCGGTAACCTCACTCACACGACGAAACACAACGCAAGCGTTGTTTCACGTCGGTGTTCTGTGAGGCCGTGGTATCACTCTGCATTTCTTATTCGTGCCGAAGTTTGGCTCTCCCACCCCTTTTTTTGTGGT